CTTACATTTTGCCTTGTAAGAAGTCTTTACATTGTGTTTCCTTTCAGAGCTACAAAATCCACTTGTCTGGCAAAGTATATTATAAACACACATAAGCTGAAGGGACTTTCTGAAAGCTTTTTTTCCCTTACATTTTGCCTTGTAAGAAGTCTTTACATTGTGTTTCCTTTCAGAGCTACAAAATCCACTTGTCTGGCAAAGTATATTATAAACACACATAAGCTGAAGGGACTTTCTGAAAGCTTTTTTTCCCTAGCTATCCCGTCTTTTTTTTTTTTTTAGACCAAAAACACTATCTTTTTTACTTCGTGCTATACAAATAGTCTCTAAATTATAGTTCCTTTGGTAGAGTTATTAGCAATATAAAGACTCTAAATTACTAAATGGCATTATAATTACTATAGCTCATATGTTTTTGAAAATTAAATTACATCAGGAGTACTACTTAAGATGTTCATTTATAACAAAATGTCAAGCTCTTATCATGTTTTAAGACAGTATATGTACCTAAACACACGCTATACTTTAAACTGAAAAATAAAAACTTTATAATTAAAGACTGGATCATACATACGGATAAATAATGGATTTTGCTTAAATTAACACTCGGGGACTATTTCAGGTCATTTCTTGAAGAATTTTCTGAACCTGCATTGCAGAAAGACACTGTAGCTCATCGACTTACCAATTCTAGCAGCAATGACGCCTGCGAACAGCAGACTGACAGAGATTATGGGCACGGATTTAGGACTCATCTGTGGGACGATATTGGCAGGGGCAGACCCGTTTGACACGTGTATTTCAGTTGTTAGGATGATTTCAGGTATTTTCGTAGGGCTCATCGTGGACAGTGGCTCCGTTTGAATGAACCTAGAACGGATATCTTCAAAAGGAGAAACAGACAAGTCCAAGGGGCTTCCAGGCATGAACACGGAGATGACACACAAGATCAAACAGGAAAGCTGTGCAAATCCTGAGATCAGACCAGTCCGAACCAGGCCACATTTTCTCCGGAGCCAAGTAAAAGCCACGGTTCCCATGATTCCAGTGATGGCAGAGGCCCCCATCAAAATACTGAGGAGAGACCCGCTCAGCCCCTGAGTGTAGGCGTACCCTGTGGTGATACAGTCAAAGCCCAGCACAGTCATATAGAGGAACGCGAGGCCCATGCCCGCCAGAAACACCGGCTGGTTGTAGTAAGAAACCCATCCGTCCCGGAAGGTGCGGAAGGGCTCCGCCATCTGGGAGGCGCAGCTGGGCTCTTGCTCGTCTTCAAGCTCATGGACAGCAGGGCTTTTCTCACCCATGAGATGAGTTCCCTCCAGGGATTTTGGCTCAGTTTCTGTTAATAAAAGACATCATGATATATGTCAATATAATGTGTATTTTCTTTTGCTAATCTAAGAATTTCAGCCAAGGATTTGTGTTCAATAAACAGCATACAGCTGATACCCCTCTCTCATATACAGTCTGTCTCCCTTTCCCCACCAACTCCCTTGGAAATGATACTCCCACCTAAGAAAACAAGTTGTATTTCCACCAAAGTAAGTAATAAGAAAACCCATAAAATAAAAATACAGTAATTGTCTGGAAAAGCATAGCATCTTATTTTCTGGGCCCTGTAAGACTCCATTTGCCCAGAAACTCAACTTCCTCTCTCTTCCTGGGAAATGTCCACTTCAAGTCCGCACTCCCTTCTACTGTCCTACAAATAGCTACGTAACGCCTCTCTTTACAGACACTTATGATTTTCTTATTCCCTTTTTTCCCTCCATTGTTCTTCCCATTCCTATGGCTCAATTTTCCCAGCCATCCCTCGATTAATTTTCCCTTCATGTCTACTGCTCACATTAAGGAAAATGGCCAGGGGTCCCATTCCAACCTGCTGAGATTCAATCCAGAATCATTCCTCAGGCCATCCAAAGCCTGGGTTTGATTCACATATTTAACTCCTTCAGCAGTAATAAACCTGATATAAATTCAACATAATTTTGGTCTTCCCCAGCGTTTAAGGTCTGAATACTAGAATAAAAGGAATGAATCATTGCGCTGAGCTTACCTTTCTGTAAATTCAGCTGTTTTAATTCAGCTTCCTCTACTTTAAGTGCAGCTTTCACAGCTAGAGCAGGTGTTTTCTGATAAACCTTCCAGAGCAGAAAGTACTCCACACACATGGACACCAAATTCCACCCCGAAATGAAACCACAGCCAATGACTGCAGAGCCAAACGTCATAATCTGGCCAACAGCCATGGGGGCCAGGATGTTGGTTAACTGGTCAATTCTCCGGATTGTTGCATTCATATCTGCAGAGGTAGGTATGAGAGGCAGATAAGTGCGCAAACCTGTCAAAGAGAGACTGCCCACTCACAAAACACAAACTCATGGTCCAAGTGTGTAGATGCCTAAAATGCAAATTTCCAAAAGCATTCTGAGCAAACCATTTTGTTTGGAAACAATTTATTGTTTGGGACACATCATTTTACATTTGCCTCAAAAATCAAAACTGCTTTGGGACTGAAAAAATTAGTCTAATATCTAGAACGGTGACTCTTCTTTCATTTTTTCAATAATTATTAAATGCCCATGATGATCTAGGCACCAATTTTCTCACTATAAAGAACAAGAAGAATATTCTGCTGTGTCTTCATGGAGTCTACCTTCCCCGGGGAAAAGAAAGAATAAATCAATGAGCATATACATTTATAGCATGTCAGATGTTAATTAAATATTAGGGTAAACAATAAAGCACAAAAAGGGCGTAAAGCGTGCTCAAGGGAAAACAAATTTCAGTTTTAAACATGGCAGGGTCAGGAAAGGACTCATGGAGGAAAAGAGCAACATGGCAAAAACATGAAGCAGTAGGAGGAAAAAGAGACAGTCATGTAAATATTAGTGAATAGAGGATTCCAGACCAAGGAGGGGACAAAAGTCCGGGACAGGAGGAGCTGTCTACAGTGTGAGAGGCTCAATAAGGAGGCTGGCAGGGCTGCAGCAGAGTGAGGGAGGGAAGAGGTGGGAGGGAGGGAAGAGGTCGGAGAGGGAGGGCAGACTGGCCCAATCACGCAGGGTCCTGTGAACACACGGATGCTGACTTTGACAATGAATGCTTCAGGAAGCCCTTGGAAGCTGATGAAGAGAGAGACGGCATGGTCTGACTTCTATTTTTAAAGGTTCATTTTAGCTTCTGTGGCGTGAAAAGACGGGAGCATGAGAGGAAGGACCTGCAGACAAGAGCAGAGGTGAGAAGACAGGCAGAAAATGACGGGGCATACACCAGGACAGCAACAATGGAGAGGGGAGACGGGTGCTGGACATACTTCAAAGGTAGAATCAGAAAGACTTGTAAACTGATTAGATTTGGGGTGTGAGAAAGAGAAGACTTAAGGGGTCTCTAAAGTGGGGTGTGAGAAAGAGAAGACTTAAGGGGTCTCTAAAGTTTCTTGTTTATTTCCTGAGCAACGACTGGGAAGAAGCTGCCGCTTGCTGAGAAAGGAAAAAGTTCAAAAGGGTCAGGTTTGGGGCAAAAGAACAAGTATTTAGTTTGGAAATTCTGACTTTCACAGACCTACTGACAGTAGAGAGGCCACAGCAAGTGGGCAGTTAAAGATGTCTGGACTTAAAGGAAGAAGTAGGTGGCCAATCTGGTACTCATAGGCTGGCTGAGTTGGGGTTTTTAAAGGTTTTATTTATTTGTTTGTTTTAGAAAGAGAGCACACACGAGCGAGGGGAGGAGCTGAGAGAAAGGACAGGCAGACTCCACGCTGAGCACAGAGCCTGACACAGGGCTCGATCGCATGACCCTGAGATCATGACCTGAGAAACCAAGAGTTCTTCACCGACTGAGCCACGAGGCGCCCCAGCTGGTTGAGTTTTAAAGCAGTGAGACTAGATGAGATCAACCAAGGAACTGAGCGTAGATCCAGAAGAGACAAGATCTGAGAACCGAGTCTTGGGCATGTCAGTGTTCAGAGGTCAGGAAAATGAAGAGGAAGTAGGGAAAGAGGAGAATATCCAGGACAATATGGTATCCTGGAAGCCACGGGCACCACTGTTTCTAAGAGGAGGGGGTAATGAGCTGGCAAGTGCTGCTGTAGGTCAAGGAAGACGAGCGCGTCTGGACTGGTCACATGGAGCGGCTCTGGACTGGTCACATGGCAGGTCCTACGGGCTTTAGGTAGAGCAGTAAGGGCAATTGCCTGACGGAAGCTGGCTTTAGAGACCAGCGCCAACTGCGGGGACACCATTCATCTTGTATTTCAGTGAGGGGCGCTCCCTGGACTCACAGCAGGAATGTTGCCGCCTGGCATTATGGAGAGCAAAGCCCTGACCAAGGAGAGGAACGAGAAAGAGTGAGAACAGACATTGTTTTCTTGAGTTTTGCTGAAAAGGAGAACAAAGAAATGGGGTGGTAGAGGTGTAGGGAGAAGTAAAAATGTTAAAAGAAATGAACATTTTTGCTAAATGCAAAATTACTGCGCTTTAAATTATGTTGATGGCACGATACAGCAGAGGAGAAGGGACGGAACCTGAACCATCCTGAAGCACCAGCAGAAGGGCAGAGGCTTACTTCTTGGACGCGAGCAAAACCATCCTTGTGAGCAAGAGCGCAGACCACGTCCACGGCTGCAGCAGACGTGACAGCGAGAGCATGTATAACTTCTCATTTCTCCTATTTTCTCAGTGAAACACAGAGTGAGGTCATCACTGAAAGTGAGCATGGGAAGAGAGGTGTGGGATGGAAGAGCTGCATGAGGGAAAGGGAACGCAAGACCTAGTCCTTTCAGAAAGTGGGAGGAGCAAAGGACCACAGAAAGCAGGACGATCACCGGGCGGCATGCAAGGGCCAACCTGAACCCAGTGGACGAACATGAAGTGAGAACAGTGAGCACAACTGTGCATTTTTCTCCGGCCGTGTTCTACTGGAGAGGGTCGGATTTAACCAGGATCTTACAAAAGAAAAGTGAAAGAAGGAGGAGAGGCCAACGGAACCGAGGGCACATGCTAGGAGGCCATCATGGGTGCTCAGAATGCCTGACCTTGGAATTCCAACTGGTAAGGAAGGGACACGAGAGGAGTCAGAGACAGTGTAAAGGAAGTGGATTTAATGACATGTAGGTGACAACCAGGCTGGAGTACTGTCCGGGTAGGGGTCCCAGAAGGAAGGAGCTAGAAAGATAGGAGGTGGCAATTCAAGACATGTATGCCCAAGGTTAGGATGATAGAAGGGGAGGCTCGAGTGGTGATGACAAAGGCTAGGACATGACCACAGAAACACAGAGCTAAGACGGAGTGCAGGACAAGACGAAGTCAAGGGGAAGAGGGAAAGTCAAGAAAATGACCTATTTTCTTATCCTCTATCTCGCAGAGTAGATTGGAATTAATGAGACAAATCCTTATCAATCATGTCGGGCACCTTAAGGGAAAAGCAATGCGTGACTAATAAGTGAGTTAACAGAAAATTGCCTTTACTCCTTCTCTAATTCTTCCTGGTCCTCAACTGCCTTCCAATTAGTCCTATGAGTGTATGAGGCTTACGTGATAACAGGAGAACTTTGACACGGTTCACCTTTCACTTGAGAGGCAAAGGCAGTTTGCGCTGACCTCACCCGTGACCATTTTTTGCAGAGACCTCATAACTTCCATCTGCCACCACCAGTGAACTTCCAGCTCCTGTGCTAACACGTGTAGAACTGATTGAAATAACTCAATATTTTGATTCCAAAAATTGAGGATTAGGGAAAACGTACACATGTTCTGAAAACCACAGACCAACAACAAAAAAATTAGTTTAATTACAGTGATTTGCGGTTCTGGCACTACCTCAGTTTCAGGTGCTCCGGAAGCTTCCCAATTCCACCAAATTCTATCTTTTATTTTACGCTTAGGAAGCTGATAATGTTTACACGTAACGTAGCATCAGGAAGCAGCTTTTATCTCTCTGAAGCAGAATGAACTACATGATGGTTTTTGGAAACAACCTAATCATTTACAGGCTAGGGAAGAATCAGTCCTCTGAATAAGCAAACATGGCCTTTTTACAAATTTCTCTTTATTCTTATGCAAACACACAATGTGTTCTAATTTAACTCCAATTTAACTGTTTTCAGCCACAGCTGAGGCACAGAATGCGACAGGAAATAGCTACTTGCTATTAGACAGAGTATATTCAGTCTCATAGAATGAGACTAATAACCAGACCCACCGGGGAGTAGCAGCCAGGATGTCTGTCTACCTTAAACATGAGATCAGGTTTTAGTCAACAGAGTTCGAATAAGAAATGTATCTGCCACACGTGATTGAGCTAACTAGCAGGTGTTTCTTTAGGACGGAGGACAAAGAAAACAAAAAAAAGAAAACAAAAACAAACCACCTCAGAAGCTATTAATAAAGAGTGGTTAACAAAGAAAATGGGCAGGGAAATAAAGTAGAGGGAAAAGTCTGGGAAGAGGAAATAAGTTTCAAGCAGGTTGGACAGGCTAAGGGTCATGGCACAGGAGAACACTTTAATAAAACACTAAACCAAGTACCGAGGCAAATTAGTTAACTGATTAATCAATAGCTTTAGGTAGGAAAACAATTCCTTTTCTGGAACTGTCCAAACTAGATGTTAACAGCTCTATTTTGGCTGGATGCCACCAAAATTCTAAAATTTCTTCACCTTCCAGGGAAAATGTCTCCTGTGTTTGTTGGTTTATTTTTTTACCCTCAGTCATACAACTCCCAATTTTAAAACCTACTCTGAAATCAAGAGACCCTGGGCTAAGAGAAGGGGAGCGATTAGCACCCAGCTCACAACCCCTCCTCTTCGGGCTCACAGCCCTCGCCCTGCACAAACGTGCATGGACACACTAGGCACACGCGGGTTCAGCATCCCTGCCCAGTCCCCTGCTGGGTTTCCTCACAGTTTTCTGGGGACTTCAAAACTCGGCCCGCAGAAACGTCCGTGCTTCCCAGCTGCGGCAGGTCTGTCTGTGTCCAGAGACGCCACCGCAGGGAACCCAGGCGCAGCAGGGGTCCCCTGGACGTGCACTTTCCCCTTCTCTGTTTTTCCATTCTCCATCTCCTTTCTCTCTGTTCTAGAACTCTGCCTTGTAGCAGAAGTGGCCCCCCAAATCCATGGTTAGACTCTTGCTGACCTTCTGAACTAGAAGTTTCTATCCTACTTGGAAGCATGGTTTTTAATTAATTTTTTTTAACAAATGCTGAAATTGAAACTTGAAGAAAGACAACACAGAGGCATCCCTTCGCCAGGCTACCAACCTCCACTACCAGATGGACGCAGAAAAGCATCGCTTCCTAAAGCTGGGTCACAGCGGACCGAAGTTCGACAGGCAGCTACTTCCTTCCTTCAACCTGAGAAATTCCAGAAGGCTAGAAAATGGACTCGTTGGCCTAGATTCTCCCACGCTGCAATTATTCCTAATAATAAAGGGCAGCTGAGAAACGGACCTGATTTTGTTGTTGTCCAGGGACATCAAAAAGCCCACAAAGTTTTATGGAATCTTTGTTATTTATTTATGTACGTATTTAGAACAAATTAAAGATTCTGAGTAACTTACACTTTATCCGAACTTTCTTCCCCCAGAGTATACAGACTTCACTGAGTCAAAATGAGTTAAGAAATTCAGATTAGGAGAAAGAAAATCGCTTTATAAGCCAACTTTTTCTCCCAAGTATATTCTAACAGATATGTACGTGACCTATTTTCAAAGCATACTTTTTTATACCCTTTGAATTTTAAACCATGGACATGTATGACATACTTAAAATAGTAGGTTAAATAGAGAAAGTAAATAACAAGCAAAAAACAAACAAAAAAGGACATAGCCTTATCTTAAGTTCAGTGTAACAAAAAGAGGCATGGAATTATTTCCCATTAGTAAATGATTATAGGAAGGGAAAAAAAAATCAATGAGAATCACTACTTCACTTGTAGAAAGAATGTCATGTGGCATACTCACACGTGCTAAATTCGTCCTCTTCAAACAGCAACCTCTAAAATCCCTGTGTTATTTCTGTCTCGATTATAACACTGCTACAACAAAGTGATGATTTTTTAAAAAAGATTTTATTTACTTATTTGACAGAAAGTGCAGGAGAGCACAATCAGAGGGAACAGGAGAAGGAGAGGAAGATGGAGAGGGAAAGGGAGAAGCAGACTTCCCACTGAGCAGGGAGCCCTATGTGATGCGGGGCTCAAACCCAGGACCCAGGGACCACAAAGTGATGATTTAAGCAAATGCCTCTCTTTCTTCGTTTGGACCTTCCATAGATTTTGCTTCCTTTCTGTCACCACCTTCTTGCCTTTTCTCAGCCACATGACCCAAAGTTGCTTGTTACCCCCAACACCTAATCTCACCTTCTGTGTCCTAGGATAAGCCATTTAAATCATCAGCAATGGCTTTCTTGTCTGTCAGGATGGTTGGGCAACAGGTTTATGACACCCATTATCTCAGTGACCAGTAGAATTGATTCAGCTGAAATGATCAGCAGATAGACATACCCTTCCTCCTTCACCCCGTGTAATTATCAGTCCAGTGGGTGTCTGGGCGGGGGGCAGGTAGAGAAGACTGAGCGAGGTGAGTTATTCTGCGACCAAGTAATATGGATGTGATAAGACATGCTGCTCCATAAGCATTCTTTCACCTTTTTCTGGCCCCTTGTACACGTTTCCAATAGACAACTAAGATTGTAAGCTTCTTAGAAACCATATTCTGGCCTTAATTTTGTTAGTATTTGTAACAGCAATTATGTTGTATATCATATATAATGGAATAAAAGTTATAGACTGTAACTTTAAAGTTGAAGGCATTAACTGTTAGAGTCTCTTTTAGGACTAAGGAATTTCCAATTGCTTTAGAGAAAAATAAAATTCATACTGATCAGTTAGCACTGGTAATAATATCCACGGTATGACTGATATAATCTCACGGCAGATTTTCACTGTTCTAGGTATTAAGTAAAGAGACCGTGAGCAGAATTTAAAAGAAAGAGCTCAAAAGGAGTGTTCCTCTACTTGCCAGGTTTGCACTGAATAAAAGATAAGTTCGCTGTCTCATAAAGTAACTTGCTAACAGTGAGATAAGTCACTGCACTGAGACTGATAAGGTGACATGAGACAAAGACTCGTTTTCAATTTATCCTTCTTTAAAAATACTCAGAAGAGGGGCGCCTGGGGGGCTCAGTCAGTTAAGCCACAACTCTTGGTTTCAGTGCAGGTCATGATCTCAGGGTTGTGGGACTGAGCCCCGCATCAGGCTCTGTACTCAGCGTGGAGTCTGCTTGAGGTTTTCTCCCACTCCCTGTGCTCCTTCCCTCTCTCTCTCTCTCTCTCTCTTTCTTTCTCAATCAAGTAAACAAATATTTTCTAAAAATAACCAGAAGAAAGGTTTAGCTTCATTCACAACCTCTGACTTAAAGTGAATCCTCATATAACCCATTTAGCTAAAAGAGAACACCAAATTACCTGCTAATTTGCTTCTGTCTCCTCCCGCAACAACGACAATCCAGTCCCTCTGGATGGTGATGGCAGTGGCAGTGCTGGCCAAATTGGCAATATTGGCAATAGTGATGATCAAGATGTAGCAGGAAGTCTGAGGAGTCACCGGAGAAAGTGGGGGTAAAGGGTCAGCGTGAACACACTCTACCTACCTCACTGGAATTTAAATGGTCTTTGGTGGTATAATAACAAAATTTTAACTTCATTTCACAAAATCGTAAGGAATCATTTTACTTTGTCGACATGATATGTTAAGGTACCAGTGGTCGAGTTAAAGGGCATAATATCTTCCTAATCTGTATCATCTATAAAACACATCCTACAAAAGTTGTAAAAGTCATACATACTTTCATGTGACATAGTTACCATAATAAGTGTTAACATGGGGGTAAGGTTGTAATTTCTCCCCAGAATATCTCTTTTGGAAAAACCACTGAAGGGGAAGTGAGAGGACCCGTATTTAAGTCAGAGTCCTGACACGGGCTAGTTGCACGACAATGGGTAATCAACTAACATCACTTTGCCTCAACTTATTCATGAACAAAATAAAGGGAACACACCAGAAGATTTCGATTGTCCCGCCTGGCCTTGAAGCTGGATGATATCAGTCTAAGTATTTAAGAAGATTCAAGAGTGACATCAAATCCACTGTTTTCCGCCCCTCCCCAGGTCTTTCTCCTTTTTTCATCAAGCCCCCTGAGAACCTAGTGTAAGAAGTTTCCGAGCTCATGACCCCAAACATAAACACCCATTATTACCGGAGGAACACAATCATGACACACTGATAGGTATATGGGCAACATTTCTTAGATATTGTAAACAAATTACAATACTAGTGAGCTGAAAACAACTGAATTATATAATAAACTCTTAAAAATGCCATCAAAAAACAAATAAGAAAAAAACAACTGAGAAAGTTAAAACTCAATACTTAATAAGTGCCTACTATGGGCAAAAAAAACAAACAAACAGAAACAAAACATAGTAACTGTAGGGGATATTAAAGTGGACACAGAGATCAACAGTGTCTTTGTAAAAAGATATTCCCTAGTCTCAAATGGTTTTCATTTTTTACCACTACCAGATGTTCTATTTTCTGCCATTAGGAATCCCACTGGGAACTTACAAGAACCCATCCATGGTACATGGTCAGAAGCTCGTTTTTATTTAAGAAAACCATCATCAGAATGATCCCGCACAGGATGACCGAAACATTCTGTACCACCAGCGAAGTCTGAGCCACTGCACAGAAGGAGAGACAAAGCATTCACTACACCAAAACATCTCAGGGGGCCGTTTTTGTCCCCATACCCCTGTTCTACTACATTCATGCATATGCAAATTATTGTAAGGAAAAAAAGTATTCCTGAAGTGAATCCTGAATGAACTATTTCCAGTAGGACCCACCATATCACATCAGGCCAGCAAAACTTGTAGAAAGAATGAAGTATTCACCATTTTTTCTATTAGTTGAAGTCATTCATAATGACCACAATTTCGTTTATTGTATTCTCTTGACGGTTTACTGTCATAAACAGAACCACATTACATAGACAAGCTCCATCTTTCAGCACTTTGTTGTTTAAGCTAAAACAAGAAACCACAGGAAGTGATAGAAAAGGTTAAGGAAGAAGTCATGGCATCCATAACCTCCTCCAGGGTACGCAGAATCTGATACGATCAGATGGTCTAGATAAATAGGAAAGACATAAAAATTTGTCAGGAATGAAGAGTAGCAGTGTGGTCCTCTGGGCATTCCAATGTTATATGCCGGGCTATGAAATCCCAAGCTACACCTTCCTTCACAGAAAACGCCAACTTCCTTGGAGTGAGACACCCACACAAAGTATTGCAGTAAGGACAGTCAGTGTACCAAGTAAGGACACCCATGGTCTTATTTGTAGTCTCTTCTCTGCCATGTACCAGGAAAAGTGATCTAGGGGAAGATACATAATGTCTATTATGTCTATGAGGTGAGGATAAGAAGCCATTCCTGCCTTCTTTACTTCTCAAGGTCATTATTATGCTCAAATAAAATACTCATGAAAGTACTTTGAAAAATATAGAGTTGTGTGTATGCGAGGTATAATTATAGCTCTTGTCTTCAAGGGGAGCGAAGCTCATTCTGTCTCAGAAAGTCCTATAAAAGCCCAAACGGCTTTCTGAAATTAGTTTGGAATGAAATCCCAACATAGAACTCATTCTTTCATTGTACAAGGACTAACTATCAACTACATGAGGTCCTTTTAGTTTTTAGGAGCCCACAGACCAGAGGAAGGAAAGATATGTGAACAGATAATTGTAAGAGTATAAGTACAACAGCTGAGGTACAGACAAAGTCTTCTGGGAGCACAGAGGAAGAAAGGATTAACTCAGCCTAGAAAGATCAGAGATTTTCATGGAAGGTGACACAGGAGCTGATTTCATAGGATGAATGGGAGACTGCTATCCCACCACACACTTTTTCACCCAACTCAACATTCCCAACCTAGATTTTCAGTGTTTGACAACTGTTAAGGTTAAAAGGTCTCGATGTATAATATTCCTACATTCCTATGGAAACAACTAGGACTGTTTTTCTAGCACACAAAACTTCACTTTATATGCGTATTGGTCTATCCATTCTTAAGACAGAAAAATGTCATCTTGACCATTTCACTAATAGCATCAAGTCCTAGAATTTGAAGATCCAAATTGCTTTCTATACACAGGTCAGTCACCCCGCACTGAAAGAACTAATACCTCAATCTGTCACCAATGTCTAAAATAGACATGGCCAGGTCTTGGATTACCAAGTGCATAATTTGGGAAAATTTTACCCTGACTTCTTATTTTACAGTGCCCTTATATTCTGCACAACTGAATTGTTCACTTTCTCTCTTTGCAAACTGCACTAATGTTCTAGAATAAATGTCACATATTATCATTTCTTATCTTTGCATCAAAAGTTTATAATTCAGCTCTTCATGATGCAGACTCAGCCACGCTTACTTAAATCTATCGTTGTTGAGTCCCTACACAAGCTGCTATGTCAAGCATTGTAACCCAGAGGACAGATGTTAAAGCTGTCCCAGCAACATCACACTAGCAGACTTCAGCGCACATCATGGTTAGAAAGATTGTCAGAGTTGAGCAAACTTTTAATGTTTAACATGGTTCTCAGCAAAGAGCTATGGTGTTAATTATTAACATCTGGAATTTATGAACTGCCAAAGATCTAAAAAAAAAAAAATTACTAAGCTTAATATCCTGGCGTTCCGATTTTGTGCAGGGCCCCGGACCCTGCAGGAAGAAGAGCCGCCATGTAGCATCCCATCCCTCAGGTGCGGCAGGCAGACACACAGTGCGCTAGTCCCAGGGGTTTCTGGGCCCCGAGAATACAAAACCTTAGGTAACCGGTACTCACCTCTGAGTCTGGCATTCTTGTCCACCCAATCACCAATGATGGCTCCGAGGACCAGAACAGACCCTGCCACCACCAGCCCATAGACTGCAGTCAAGAGGAGGCTGTTTCCATAGAGCTCTACCAAGAACACAGACACGGCAAAGTGCCACATCCGGTCTCCCTTGAATGAAAAAAGAGAAAATGTTTTGATGAAATTATTTTTATTTTCTAGTCAATTATACTGAGGAAGTTGCTTCCTTATCAAAAAGGTACTTTTAGGCTATACCATGAGATGTTCAAAGTCAACAACTCCTCTATGAATTGAACATGGGTCAGGTGGTAAAACCATCCATCGTAGCCCAGTGGAAAATATTCTGGCCCATTTAGGAAGTAAACCCAGAAAGGTATGGTATCAATGAGAAACACACACACACACACTCCTTATCACTCTAGAAAAAAATGTACCTTCCATACCAAAGAAGCCTTTTAGAGACAAAACTTGTTCCCTTTCAGGTCAGGTTTCCACCGGGGCCTGGAATAGACCTGTTCTGGCCTGGGAGGCATAAAGTGTTTGATACCGAGCTGGAATGAAACTGCGGTCTAGTCACAAGTATTCATATGCCTTGAATGTCAAGGAAAAGCCAGTTCCCCAATTTGTAAGCTGATAAGAATGAACCATATGCTCTTTAAAGTTTCTTTTACCTCCAACATTCTAAAATCTACGTTCTATTTCACAAATGAATTTCAAAGTCAAAAAACAGCAAGGCTCAGAAAGGTGAAATTAACATGGGCAAATTCTGGCACCACATTTACAAAAATGCCAAAAATAAATGCATAAGCAGCTTTACATTTGAACATTTTAATACAGATGGGTTTCGAAAGGGGTAAAAACTACTTATTTTTTCACTCCAGACTATATAGGAAATTTTGGAATTCAACACTGGAAAATGTAGAAAAACAAAACTTTTATATGAGTCAGGTAAATTACTAGGTAAGAAACCTATAATGAACCTTATTATGAGATTTTTGGCTCCATCTTTGACCTCTGAGTTAACATAAAACAGGACAACAATGTTCTATTATAATTTAACCCTGGAAATCACTACCGGAAACAAAATTCCCAGGACAGGCTCTTCATGGATTTGACCCTATGTGTAAGTGCTGAGTCCTGGTTCTTTCTAAAGTCTCTTAACATCTGTTTGATAAATTTGATGTATCAGGAGCAAATATTATTCAGGTCTATGAAACGATTTAAAAATTTTAATAAAGCCAAGACAACAATCTTATGCATTCAAAATTTAAAACGGATGCACATTATACAACAGCAATCATGTGGACCAGGATTTCTCTGTGGGGGTGATTTAACGCAGGGATCACCTGGCAAAGTCTGAAACTGTTTTGGGTTGTCACAATTCTGGCGGCGGGGGCGGGGTGGGGGGTACTTCTGCCATCTACAATACATAGGGCAGTCTCCCACAACAAAGAATTATTCAGCCCCAGATGGCAATAGTACCATCTCTGCCACCAGGTAGAGAAACCCTGATGTAGGTAATTATGAACATAATTTAGAAAGGCAATTCGAGGGGCACCTGCCTTCAGCTCTGGTCCTGGGATTGAGTCCCCACGTGGGGCTCCTTGCTCAGCGAGGAGTTTGCTTCTCCCTCCTTCCCTCCCTCCCTTCCTCTCCCTCTGCTAGCTGTTTTCCCCTGTTTACACACACAAGCTGTCTCTCTTGCTCTCTCTCTCTTTCTGTCAAATAAGTAAATAAAATCATAAAAAAGAAATGCAATTCAAACTTGACATAACATCAGGCCCTCGGTGGATGGGGTGGGTATGTCAAGTAAATGTTAAAACAAGCACTACAGGAAACCCACGGGAGCTCTAGAATCGTGCACTCTCGCACACCTCAGCCGAGTGCAGGGCCCAGATTAGATACTGTGGAATCAACAAAGGAGTAGACATGCCCTGAATCCCAGTTGTGAATGAGTAAATACAAGAGTGGAAACCGAGACCGATTTACCAATCACACTGTTCTGGTACATGAGATTTGTTCCCTGAATGTTCAAAAGTTCAAGGATTAATCAGTACCATAATTACTATTTCTGACACAGCTCGTATTCGCTTTGATAATTTAAAGTTTCTCCACTTAAATTAAGTAGGATTTATTTAAGTTTCAAATACTATTATACTAAATTATTAAAAATGTATGATACACATACAATTTGTCTGAAACCAATAAAAGGACAAGTTTATATTAAGATAAAGACGTCCATAAGAAAAACTGTTTTCTTAATCTTCAAGAGGAGAAGCAAATTTAGACTAAATTAGAACACAATGGCATGGGGAGAGTTAGCGCCTCCCACAAGTAAAGAATAAAGAGTAAGCCGAGTACCTCCCTCCTTTACCTTAATCCCCATTCCTTTGAATAGCTCCCAAGGAAAAGACAAAAAACACAGAAATGCCCTTAATGGCAGGTTGCCTCTGTGGGTGAGTTTCCTCCTTCTCACCATAAAGAATGAAAATTATTACTCTATTTCTATTATCTTTCTTTCTTTCTTTCTTTCTTTTCTTTCTTCCTTTTTTTCTTAACTGCTATTTTTTACCCCCAAAACATATAAATGCTCTTAATGACAGGTTGTCTCCATGAGTGAATTTCCTCCTTCTCAACATAAAGAATGAAAAATATTACTCAATTACGTCTTTCTTTCCTTTCCTTCCTTCCTTCCTTCTTTCCTTTCTTTCTTGTTTTTTAAGTCCTATTTTTTTACCCAAAACATTTGTTTTAGATTCCTCTACAGCGGGCCGTCAAAACAAGTGCTACTAAAAGAAAATTTTCTCTCTTGTTTATCCTTGTATGGTATGACACCTCCTTGATGGAGAGGCACAAAATTGCCCCAGTTACCCCAATTCCTAAAGAGTTCAGGCTTTAAGTGGCAACAGATCCCATGCTCACAAAGCCCAAGAATCAGGCCAAGTCTAAGTAAATGTTGACCAAGTGCGATTTCAAGCCCACCCATTCCTTCCTTACATCCATTTCCTGCCTCCTATGTGCTCTCCCTGTACTTTGATGATTCGTTTACATGTCCATCTGCCCCCAGCTGACTGCGGGCCCACAGCCAACTGAGTATCCAGGAACCAATGACCACAGCCAGTAACCCACTCACTACTTACTGAGTGGCTACTGTATACCCAGTACTCCTGCAGGCACTAGAAACTCAGCGGTACCTAAAAGTCAAGGTCTGTGTGTTCACACAGCTGGCATCTCAGGGAGCAGAGACGTAAAGCAAACCTAGAACAGTTCAGGGGGTATAAACGCTATGAGGAAATAGCGTGAGCAGTAAAGTGGCATTTTGCGTTAAACAGAGACTTCTCTGAGCAGAGACCTGAAGGAAATGAGGGCCAGAGCCACGCTGACACCCGGGATATGAACAGAGACAGTCCATAGCATGAATGACGAGGGAGTGGATGGCAAGCTGAGGACAGGGCAGAAGCTGATACCCCAACCTCCCCTTCCTCCCATGGGACATAGGTGACATTCCTCATGCACTCCTGGCTGCCCTAAGGCTAAGAAAAGAAAAAACAAATCATTAACGTGTAGAGATCACAAGCCTCCAAGACCCCAGTCTCCCTCAGTTTACAAATGTCTCCGCGATCTGTACGAGAACAAAGCATTTCCATCAATGACCCAGCTTCCAGAAGGAAAGACAGACACAATTAACTGTCCTGATAACCTGCAGCTCACAAACAGACCCCGGAAGCAGGGAAGCGGGCAGACTGTAATGTTCCTCGAGGAGGCTCCCAACCATCTTACTGGTAATGCCTTGCTAGAGGGAAAAACAACCTTAATTGACAATGGCAAGGCTTCCGGTATCCTTTGTGGGTCCTCTTTAGCATGTGAAAGCTCTTTTAAAGCACCCCCCCCCCAAGTCCCAAGGATACCATCAGTGACCCCTCACAACCCCAGGGCATCCTGCCCATGGGTCCTGTGCTTTAATACACCACCATTTTGTACTAAAAATGTCTCGAGAATTCGCCTTGGCTGTCAGCTCTGGACTCCACCTCACCAAACCTCACCTGTATTCCATAACCCCATCATGATGACATAAGATGTAAGCAACTGTTCCCCCTTTCCCACTGCCTTACACTGTTGGTCACCTTTTTGTGACCAGACACATTTTTTGAAGCCCAAACTAAATCACCTTTTAAGCTCCTCGACAACAGATCCACTTGTCATGGTAGTTTGTTATTTTGAGAGTATAGAGTAAAATATATTAATCTACTGGCAGACAGAAATAAAAAGCATTCAACCCCACATAAATCCAACCTTCTAGGCTAACACTTCCATGTTCAGTGTATAGGAAACCATGATTTGGCAGAGTTTGCAGGGGAATGGATGGATAGATATGCGTATATGTACATACACATACATGAGCACATATATTTTGCTCTAATAAAATCAGCCGGTGTCAAACAGGAGACAAAACGCAAAAGGCAGAATCATCTAGAGTTGGTGAGCATTCCTCTTTTGCACTCTTTTGCAACAAGAAGTAAAACTCCACTAAACCTTATATGGTTGTAATTCCTGGGTTTTTTGTTTATATTTTTTAATCCAACTTTCCACAAGAATTCCCTTTGCTCAACTTAATGTAAGACTGGGGTGTCTGTCACTTTTCTTGTGGGATTCTTAATGAACATGACAAACAGTTCCACCCTTTTGGCAAATCTGACCTCCCAATCTAGTAACAAGGTCACATAAACATTAAACAAGGTAATGAGTATTTGGAAGTGAGGCACCTCCTTCTTCTAAGAGACAGGTCCAGATCACAAGATGACAATTTCAGATACTATCTCCACCACCTGTTACTGGTTTTTAAAATACTTAATACTTACTAAATTAAATGGAAGAAGAAACTATTGATTTATATATAATTAAGAGTAGTTTCACTAGTTTCTACTTAGAATCATCAGCTGTTGGAAACAAAACAAACTCAGTTTGTTTATGTGTATTTGCAGAGTCATCCCCGTCTAAGCCTCTGGGGAGATAGGAGCTGGCCTTTCTAAAAAGCCAAAGCCATCTTTGAACTGTTATTTCTTAAAGAGCTGATAACCAAGCTTAATAATTTCCCAAGAGCATGGGTACACATTTCCTCATGTAATAGCCTGCATTCAGGTCTTAAGAATGATCGAATAGAATGATCCAACAGATCCAATGATCCAGTTAAAAAGAAAATAACATTCACAAAATTTACCCTAAAAATTCTCTCTTCTTATTTATGGTTTTTTAAAATCAGATATTACATAGGAGGCATAAACAGAATTTACTCAGATACTGCTTTTCAACAGAACAATTGTTGAAAGATTCTATCATGAATTAAACACACATCCAGCATCCTTTTGGGATTACTCTTTTTTGGGGTGTGGATGAAGGAATCCAGCCCCACAGAAACACTGGCCTCTTCTAGGACCACATAGGAAATCTGAAGAAGAATTATAAATCATCTGCAAACTTTCTTTGGATGATGGTTTTTAAGGGAACCTGAGATGACAAACGCGTATCTACTAATGGATAACATTTTTAAAGCCGAGAATTCTTATCACTCAGATGTTTGTTCTTCGGGTTAATTATATTTAAATTAATCTTAGAATGCTATTTTTAGCCTAAGGCAGTCATTCCACTCTTGTACTGTATTTTCATTGTGCAGTATGCTGGAACTCATCATTTTAACAAAAGAAGAAAATGGAGAAAGACCTTAAAACGTGACACGGGAGATACATGAGACATTCACCCATGCTTCGTAGCAAATTTTACCATTTCCTAAGCCTAGTATCGCGAACTATACTCGACAAGCATTGCAAGTATTCCTGTCCTTGTCATTTTATCTTTGGATAGCTGTTCATCGACACAAAGTGGGATACTTAAATACATACACTCACACGGACGGGAAAATATCTTTGGTGAAAATAACTTTCACTAGAACTTGTGTGTTTGGCGGCTTTATTTCTTCAGCTGCACGAAAAACCTGGAAGACGGTAGAGTAAAACTGGGCCGCATGGAAGGAAACGAGAGGTTACGCGAGCAGGTCGTGAGCGCAACCGTCCAACCGTCCGCAACGCTTACCCAAGTGGACAGCGAGTGGCCCAGGTAGAGAAGGAACTTGGCCGAGCTCAGGTACTGCGCCACGGAGCCTGCGGAGACACGGAGGGCGGCGGGAAGGAGCGTTTAGTCGTCGCAGGGAGGGGGACGCCACTGCGTTCTGTGTCCTTGAACACGACCATTAAACGTGGATTTGCGGGGCAGAGTGTCCCGCACGGAACCCGCACACTTCGTGCACCCGCCCCTGCAGCTCCCCGCGCCCCGGTCGGCCCCGCGAAGCCTCCCGCACAGTCGCGGTCCCGGACTCCGTCTTTCTTCCCCGCGACAGCCCGCACCGCCCGTCCGCCGCCCGACGGCTCCCTGCCCCCCGCCCCTGCCCCCGCGCCCGCGCCCGCTCACCGCAGCATCCTGCCCCGCGGGGCTCCGCTCGGGCCTTGCTCATGACCGCCGCCGCCGCCGCCGCGCTCCGAGGGGCCGGGATCGGGGGGGCCGGGACCGGGGGCGCCGCCGGGAGCACAGCAGCCGCGCGGGGGACGCTCGGAGTGCGGAGAGGAGCGGCCCGGGCTTCCCGCGTCTCCCTTCCAACTTAGCTAGCACTGTAGCTGAAGTCGGAAAGCCCAGCCTCTGCGCGGGACGCTCCGGGACCCCGCGCCGCCGCCGCTGCCGCCCGCCGCGCGCGCTTA